TTCATTTACGATGATTAGTATAAAACGAACATCCCTCTCTGGGATCCTGTTCAATAATAAATGTACTAGTGCAACTAATCGGTCAAGACAAACCGTACGGTTGACACTACAGCCGTTCCGATGGGTTGTTCAATTCCATCTAGGTTGTGAACCAACGATTCTTGTTTCGCAAGTAACTGATATAGTGATCTTCGGTACGCCCGATGACGACCCACTTATCTACATGCAAAACAACAGAACGTGGAACTTATTTAACCAAACATAATTCTCATTCATCAAGGAATAACAAGTGTAATATCCACTAAAGCAAAGCTTAAGTATATAACACCAACACAAGGATCGTAGGGTGATTGTGCTCGTAGACAACGGATCATCACACAACTTCATTAATGCTGACTTGTCCCAGAAGCTGAATTTGCCAACCACGAAGATTAAGCCTTTTGATGTACGAGTAGCTAATGGTGAGAGGCTGCAATGCACTAAATCTTTTCGAAATGTGTCGATCAAGTTCCAAGGAGTTACGATAAAGGCTGATCTCTATGCTTTACCCCTAGTCGGACCTGATGTCGTTCTAGGAGTACAATGGCTCGAAGGGTTAGGCAAGGTGACCACCGACTACCGAGCTGGGGTTATGGAGTTCAAGTCTGGAGGTCGACAAGTCACACTGAGCACGGGCACTGAGAAAGGTACTAAAGAAGTTGGATTGAAGAGTATTGAAAGAGTTTGGCGAAGCGGCGGCCAAATATTCGCAGTAGTGGTTGAAAGTAAGGGTACGCACGCGGAAGAGGCTGTGCACCAGCAAGGCGATGTGCGCGAGCTTCGAAGGAGTGCTAGGCGAACCCAAGGGACTACCACGACACCGGGAGTTCGATCATCGCATACCACAGGTCAACGAGTAGCACGCAGTTCACGTCCATCTCTATAGGTACGCTCACTTCCAGATAACTGAGATTGAGAGGCAAGTAGCTGAGATGCTGGAGTCTGGGTTAATTCAGCATAGCAAGAGTCGGTTTTCTTCACCAGTACTGTTAGCTAAAAAGAAAGATGGCACGTGGAGGTTTTGTACTGACTACTGAGCTCTGAATGTCGTGACTATCAAGGATCGATTTCCTATTCCTAGTGTCGACGACATGCTCGATGAGTTGGCTGGATCACGTTACTTCTCGAAGCTCGATCTGAGAGCTGGTTATCATTAGATTCGACTCTACAAAGCCGGCATACCAAAGACAGCTTTTTGTACGCATCAAGGGCACTATGAGTATTTGGTGATGCCATTTGGGCTATGCAACGCCCCATCCACTTTTCAGTTCGCTATGAATTCCATCTTCAAGGAGCATCTACGTAAGTTTGTTCTAGTCTTCTTTGATGATATATTGGTATATTCGAAGTCATGGGCTGAACATCTGGAGCATTTGAGAGTGGTGCTTGAAGTCTTGGAGGCTAACTCATTTCACATCAAGCCGTCCAAGTGTTCATTCGGGCAGGAGATGGTCGAGTACTTAGGCCACTTTATATCTTATAATGGCGTAATGATTGATCTAAGAAAGATAGAGGTGATGGTCGACTGGACCAAGCCAACGAGTCTCACGCAACTTCGAGGGTTCCTAGGGTTCACGGGCTATTACCGGATGTTTGTAAAGGATTATGGAACCATTTCTAAGCCACTTACGGAGATGACCAAGAAAGGAGGGTTCATGTGGACCAAGGCTAGCGAGGAGGCATTTGAGAAACTGAAGGGCGCCATGACTACAACGCCAGTACTCGCATTGCCAAGGATTGATGTCTTGTTCGAGGTACACACAGATGCTAGTGATATTGGGATTGGAGCCGTGTTAGTACAGGAAGGGCGACCTTTAGCCTATCTTAGCAAAGCACTAGGCACGACTCGATTGGGTTTATCTATGTACGTAAAAGAGATGCAAGCAGTTGTCGAGGCTGTGAGATGCTGGAGGCCTCATCTGCTGGGGCGACGTTTTCGGATTGTGACCGACCAGCAACCACTCAAGCATCTACTCGAGCAAAGGATTGTTACCTCTGAACAGCAAAAGTTTGTCTCGAAACTAATGGGGTTTGACTTTCAGATAGTCTACCGGCCAGGTGGACAGAATGCTGTAGCTGATGCCTTATCTCGATGGACAGATGTGGCTGAACTTGATGCTATCACTGGACCTACGTGGACCATCTGGGAGGAAGTTCATAAGGCGCAAGAAGAGGATACTTATTGTAAAGAAGTGCACCTGAAGATCGAGGCAGGAGAAACCATTGCAGATTATGAGTTGCACAACAACCTACTACTACATCGAGGCCGAGTGTTCGTTCCCGACGGTGGACAGCTACACGAGAAGATCATGCAGCACTTCCACGATTCTAAGGTTGGAGGTCACTCAGGTATCTACCGCACATGGATGAGGATAGCTAATACCTTCTTTTGGACGGGACAACAAGGCATGGTTCGAGATTACATCGCACGATGCGATGACTGTCAGCGCACTAAGGCTGATTGACGCTGGTCAAGCGGGCTGCTGCAACCGCTACCGGTTCCCGATGCGATCTGGGAAGACATCACCATGGATTTCATTGAAGGACTACCGAGTTCTAATGGGTTTTACGGAGTAATGGTCGTGGTAGATCGCCTTACCAAGTATGCTCATTTCATACCCATTACACATCCATACACAGCCAAATCTATCGCCAGGTTGTTCGTCCAATATGTGATGAAGTTACATGGAGCCCCGCGATCAATAGTTTCTGACCGAGATAGGATTTTTATGAACAACTTTTGGTCTGAATTCTTCAAACTGCAAGGAACTGAGCTGTCCATGAGCTCGGCATATCATCCCCAAACCGATGGGAAAATCGAGGTAACCAACCGAACCCTTGAGCAATACCTACGGTGCTATGTTCATCAATTTCCGAAGAGATGGGAAAACTTTCTACCCTGGGCTGAGTACTGGTACAACAGTACCTACCATGAATCAACCAAGATGACTCCATTTGAGCTGGTGTACGGGCGTAAACTGCCAACACTAATCAACTACTCAGAAGGAGGCACGGTTAATGATGAAGTCGGTCGAGAACTCGAGGAGCAAGATTTGATGTTGTGGGTGAGTTGAAGAAAAGTCTCGAGGGCTCGATAAATCGAACCAAAGCTGTAACACCCCACCTTACTAGATAAATCAGAGTTGCGCCTTTATTCGCAAAGTCTTTGAAAACTAAAACATTTTTACTTTGCGAAACTG